GCATAGAGGCTACTTCTTTTCTTTTTGTGGAGGAAGGAGAGGATGAACACAGACTGACTAATAACCATCACCATGACACGCCATGCTATCGCACGAACCCCAGAGACATGGCAGACACCTAGGCTGAGCTTTTTAACTCTCAGTGTCTATGGGGACATCTATGTTTGTGCCAGTCACTGTAAGTTTCTGTCACAGCAGGGACAAATAGGCACTCCTAGGGCACAATTCATCTGAGCTGTGTTAGTTGTCGACTTCAGAATGAGCTCAGCTGTCTCTTTCAAGTGCCTGCTTCTCTAAGTTGATTTTAAAGAGAGTTTAGACAATTAGCTCAGCTGCGTCTTCATTCCGGATATCTGTATTGGGTCAGGTTGATCTTGCCTGGCAACCTGAAAACTTTCCTGTAAGACAACCCTTATCCTGAGACAAAAGAATAGATAAAATTCTTGGTGAATCGGAAAATGGTTATTCCTGAGGATAACCAGAGTGGCAGTTATTGACATTTGAAGAATACAAAGAGCTGGGGACAACAACTGAGTGATAAAGCATCCTTCTTGTCTTTTCAATGCAGCTTGTTCAGCTTGCCTGCTTTCTCTGTCAAAGAGTGTTTTAAGAGTTTAAAGGCTCTGGCTCTGGATGATGCTAAACCCCGCTGGATGGTCCAGGCAAGCATAAATAGAACCTAAGATGTCTATAGATGTCTAATAGGTGCTTCAGCCTGTCTTTGCCTACAGTGTCAGCACACAAATGTGCAAGTCTCTTAGCACTGGCTTGAAACACACCACAGCTACAAGGTGCTTGAGCAAGGTGGGAAAGGAAGGGTTAACTGTGGCTCTCCCAAAATTTAATAAAAGGGATACAGTCAAAAAGTGGCCTTCTCACTAGATCAAATCACTACCCCTAGGTAAAAGCATGCATACTTTTAAGAAGAGACAGTCTTTCATGCTCTGAAGGTGGCACACTGGGATTTGCAACAAAGGTCTCACTGCTGAGAGGGACATATAGTCCATCCATACCTCAGGGGTGAGTAGAGCGATCCCCACTAGCAGGGCCTAGGAGCGTGTAAAGATTTTAAATATTCATTTGACTTCTGAGTTATTGTGTATGTTGGTTGTTAGTCCAAGAAAGTTATCGTTGTCCTCTGTTCTTACAAATGTATCGTCTAAACGTGTCATCGCATGCCGGCAGCAAAGAAAAATGGTTCTGTTCCGCTGAAGAAAGTAAATAAATAAATACTGTTTGTGATCAAGGGAAGTAACTTTTCTGGCACTGCAGCTAGAATTGGGAAGGCACTGTTAGCAAATAAAAAGGGAGTCCTGACGATACTGCAGTGTCTTTGATGGTGCAATTAGCCTGCACTGACAGAGCAGGGAGATATTGCAATGGCCCAGATTCCACAGCGTGCACTGCTATCTCCAGTTGTAGGTGCCAAGCCCTTCGAGGCAATATTCGTATTGCACCACTGCAGTCACTATTTGTGCTACCAGGGACAGGGATTTACTGGAGGCTACAGAATATTCCACGGATTGTAATGAAATCTGGCATGTCACCAAGCCACATCCGGCAAACCGTCAGTATTTTACTGCTGAACAGATTTCTTGCAACACCCACCATTTTCCCTTTTCCTGAAAGAAGCTCTCCACACTTGTGAATCTAAACAAATGCAACTACATTTGTGTCTTGCTCACAGGTTTGAAGCAACAGACATATATTAAATTAACAGTTTTATAAAGGTGCTGTTTTATCAGAGGGATTCAGTAGGCTGGGAATAGGGAAAGAAGGGTGGGGAGTTTCTGCCTCTGGAGCATTGTCCTTGGGCAAGTCACAGCTGTCGGTGGACTTACCCATATCTCTGCCTCACTTTGCAGCCCTACCAGGAACCACACACGCGTAACAACCGTGGGGCTGGGGGAAACCTCAGCTACTTTTCTAAGGTGGGAGGCTTGCACCAAAGGCAGATACCTCAGGTCAGAGAGTAAAGCCTGCCGGCACAGGTCTGGCTGAGATAAGCTACGGCAGGCAGGTCCCAAAGAGCAGGCAGTCCCTAAGCTCTGACACTCGAGGAAGGAAAGCTCAGGGAGAGTGGGTTCACTCTCCGGAGAACAGCCCGGCTGAAAGCCAGGGTGCAGTCTGGAGGCAGACCAAAGTAAGACGGTTGGAGATGACCATTTGGTAAATCAATTGGATCTGAGCTAGCAGGAAGCAGCTGGGTCGTCCTGCTCTATGCTGTGCTGTAGGGCAATTTCAATCATCATCATGAAGGCTTGAGTTGCTGCGTAACTCAACTGGAATAAGTAAGCAGATTAATGGCCCAGACCTAAACCATATCCTAGGCAGAAAACCACTGACTTTGACATACACAGCACAATAACTTCACAGCCAGCACCATCACGAAATGTTCTGTGAGCAAAAAATGTAATGAGGCTGCTGATGGATGGAGTACTGACAAGTACAGATGCAATACAACACAAAGAACAATATTAAAACATAAATATCAGTAGTTTTCTGAAAGTGCTGATAAATCAGAATCTGTATCTTTTTGTTTCACAAAGGCCACGCGAGCTTGACCTCGTACCTGAAAATACTCGTTCTACTCACACAGAAGGCAGTAGTGATTACACAAACCTTTACTTATTCTGATTTCGAATTCGGAGACACCTCCTTTTCAATGGTGGCTCCAGATCCTCTGGCCCTGTGCTGAGTATTGGTGTAGAGATAATGCACGGCGCGATAGCAGTCTTTTCTGCTGGTTTTGGCACAGGCTGGATCACGCAACCTGTCTTGGGCAGCATCCGCAAAGCATACGCATGGTCCTCATCTGCTGGATTGTTAAGGTTCGGGTCCTGCTTGTCTCCCCCGGCAAGGGACTCCTCCCCAGTCTTCTTGCCAGCATCTCCCTCGAGGTGGCAGTTTGATGCGCAGTTGTTCTCCTTAACGGACTCCAGCTCACTCACCGCCAGCTCCTCCGGGGGCTGGTTTTTTTTCGGCTCCTGCGGCGGCTCCGGGTTCTTGGAACCCTCTGTGCTCTTCATGCCATTCACAATGACATTGCACACCGCTGCACCAGCTTCCAGTCCCGGCGTGCCGGAGGCCAAGGAGACGGGACAGCAGTGAGCTCCGTCACTGCATGGTAACGTTTTTGAGTCAACTGGGCTGCAGTTGTCCCTGCAGTCGCTGCAGTTCCTTTTGTCTGAGCTACCAAAAGCCAAATTTACAACACTGTTAGTTTCACGTTCAACTTTCACTTGGGCGTGTAAGGCCCTGTGGATAACATTGTGCAGCCTAGACCGGTGGCCTACTGTTAGGTCTATCACACCGTCCTGTGGACCCTGTAGCACACTGGGGAAACCAAATTTACTGTTCACTGGACTACTAGGTCTGACAGTCAAGTCAACAACTTCATTTTTACTGTGCTCCTGAAGCACTTGAGCTTGATTTAGGGACTGGCCTGAGCAGCTCGGTGACGAGTCAGAGGATTTAGACGATCCTTGCTTTGACTCTCGAGGGGACGAAGAGCTATTGGTTGGCTTTGCCCCAGGCGTCTCACTGGAGGTACTCGGAATGAAGCTTTCGCCGTTGCTGGAGAAGCCGTTGGGGGGTTTGGAGTCGTTAATATGAGGGATGGGGATGGGAATGGGGATGGGGACAGGCAAAGGGACAATGACAGGATATGGCACTAGTAGAGTCGGGGGTGGCACCAGCGGGGCAAGGGATGGCAATCCAAAGTTCATCATCTGCGGCATAGGCATAGGACCATTTGGCATCATGCTGACAGGGGGAAAGGGAAGACTGGGCAAAGGAGCTCCGGGAGGAGGAGGTGGCAACAAGCCTGGAGGATTCCCAGGCATGGTAGGTGTTGTGGGGGGATGGATATGAGGGGAAAGCATCGGCCTGTGCATGGGGCTAGAGGTGGGACCCATATTTCTGGGACCACCTGGCGGAGGACCGATTCCAGGAATCATTGGATTTGACAGAGGGCTGTTGGGATTTGAAGCATGGTGAGGCGGCCCACGAATAAATGGTGGACGGATTTGCTGCATAATTTGCTGTTCCATGAATATGGGCAGAGGAACTGGCCCACGGTTTGTCATCACCATGGGAGGACTGCGAGGTGGGACACCAATTGGAGGCACAATGCTAGCAGGTGGCTGGACAGAAACTGGTGGAATATTTGGATTCTCACTGATGGGAATAGGTTTGGGAACTGGCGTGGGGATTTTAGTGACAGAGCAGTTGGCAGTGTCAGACGGAGAGGCAGTGGTAGACGCTGATGGTCCAGGACCTTGAATTTGGCCAGCTGCAGACGCTGGGGATGGGGCTTTTCTCCGAGCATCTGCTAGCGGTATATTCCAAGAATCTGGAGTCAGCAGCTGCACCCCAGTGCCTTCTGCTTTATTTTCGACTGGAGGATGTAATGTACTGCACAGTCCAGCTGGAAGATTGGCCTGTGTCTCTTTGTAGAAAATGTCCATTTTGTACTGATTGAGACATTTTGCACTGCAGAACTGAAGCCTTCTTTCCCCGTCCCCAAAATCCAGATACTCTTTTGTGTGTCTTATGTGCTTACACCAGTCACATACCTACAACACAGTAATAAAATCAAATCAGGTAAGCAAAGCAATCTTCTCTTCATAGTGTTATTTTAAAAGTAATTTTTCAGTTGCTTTCTAAATATTCACATTATTTTTCTAGCAGAAAAAAAAAGAGTTACGTTTATGAAAACTATGTGCTTTTTTTTTTTTTTTTTTTTTTCCAAAATATTGGTGAATTGAATGCCACTTCCTTTTCTGGCTCCCACGATCTCATTTCTACCTTATACAGTACATCATATATCTTAAACCCATACTACAGAGAAGAATTCTCAGGTGGCATAAACTGTTATAACACGCATATGTAACTATATACAAAATTGGTATGAGTATGGCCGTGATTACTCCTCAGTGGTAATTTAAGCACACCTGCACCACCTGAGATGCCATGCTACACAAGAAGTATGATAACTAGAAAAGGAGTTAGAAAGTTGCTGGAAATGAATGCAAATAATTTCTGCTAAACTGCAGCACACTGTAACATTCAGTATTCTACTAAGGGTATCAAATAGTACGTTGGAAAGGGTGTGGTATTCTAAAAAGGCATCAGGAAGCAAAAAGCATCTCTCATCCTTTGCCCTTCATTCCAAGGAGAAACTTGGAAATAGCCAGGACATTTGTGTGAGGTTCAAATAGTTCCAATTTGTGATGTTTCGGCAAGCTGGAATTATTTCCTGAGCTGTTTGCCCACTCCTGAGTACGAGTCACTTTGAATAAAACTTCTTGGCAAGCAAGGGCCTATTTAGCAACTTTTGAAATACTACGGCAAAAAGTTTGCATTGCAGGCTCATTTTTGTTTTGTTTCTCTGCTTTCCATTTAATCCTTTTCTGTGTTACTATTGGTGTGGTGCAGGCATAGCCAAATTTTTTTTAAAGTAAGGCTGCAGAACTAATTAAGCTGTGAAAGGTTTTCCCAGTTGTAAACCACTAGACACCAAAGTTCAAAAAATAGTCATTCTAGGCTTCAGAATCCATTACTTCAGAGAAATTATTGTGATTTCATTAACACATTAATTTTGCAACACCAACAGCTCTCACAGATGGTGAAGACATGATCTACAATTCAAATATGACTCTTGTTTGCACAAATGCCTTTCCTTCATATGGCATTTCAAACAAGAATTAATATGAGTAATCTTGCCATAGCTATAAACAGATAAACAGATGTCAGATTTTTCAGTGCCGTACTTTTTTGACAGAATTTTACACACACAAAAACCCCATATTTGTCATTTACATTAGTTCTCAAAATACTCCGTTGACAGAGATTTTTGGTGCTTTCTATCAGCATGTTGAGCCTATGACCACGTCAGAACACATCCTAGTATCATTTGTTCTGCCTTTTCCAAATAGCCCATATTAACTTGTTTTGAAATGACTATATCTTTTATACAAAAAAGAAAAAAATAAAGAATACGATTGTGAAAAGACTGCATTAAAAGGATAATTAATTTTAATAACTATTGGCCATATAAACAATTCCAAACAACATATGTCGGGCATCTGATTACCCATCTCATTTAACTCTCAGCTTTCCTTTAATGTAAACAGTGGTGACATTTTTGAGTTTTCAGTAATATATCTTTTATATATATGTATGTACATGTACACACACACACACACACACATCTCCTATATGCTATGGCTATTAGCCTGTTTATTTTAACTCTGCAACCTTTTGGTATCCGGTCTGGTCGCTATTTGATTCCCTCTCCTGTCTCCACTCCCCACTCACACACTCATGCACACACTCCCTCTTCTCCACCACGTATTTTTTATCCCAATATTTAAATCAAGCTAAATAATTACTTGAGAAGTAGCAACTATTTAGTCGCCCCTGGAGTCTGGGGATGCAGGACCCAGATTTTTTCCTCAGACACACAGACACAGCGCCATGTAGGATAAAGCAGGGAGGGTGCTGGTGCCGCTCGACGCACACAGCATTAGGATGGGCGTATTTCCAGCATGATGCCCCATGCAAGGAAGACAATTTCCTGGTGCGTTACAAACAGGGCCAGCCCTGCACTGAACACACACAGATGATGCAGCGCCCTAAAAAACGTGGACATAAAGGCTGCCAAATGCACAGAAGAGTTTAAATAAATGCCTCTGCTGCCACGGCGTGTGCATCCCCCTCAAAGTGTAGGGCAGATGGGAAGCAGGAGTGCACAGAGGAAGGCAAAGTGGGGGCACTCCCACTTCCAAGAGCCTCCTGGGTTTTACCAGGCATCGGCTCTCCCTCAGCAGCTGTCGCAGACAGCACCGGAGCTGGAGAACCCCTTGCCACAAATAGTGTAAACACGTGGTGGTGGGCACTGAACCATCCCGGGTATTTGGCATGCGTATGGGTTTTGCCACCCACCTGGCAAGTCAACACAGGATGATCTGATGGAAGCACCTTAGAACTGACCTCCTGAAATTGTCTGATTCACCACTGTTTTCCAAGCAGACAAAAGGGGAATTTGTGAGTCTATGCCGCGAGTTAATAAAGTACTATTTAACTCAGTAAAGCTGCTGAATTTACCTTAAAGACATTTTTGTTCAACAGCTCACTGCTGTAGCCACAAAACGCTATCTTTTTGCATGTATGGAATCAGGACATAAACCACTGTGCTCCTTCTGCCTCTTGTGGGGTATGGTCTTGCCCCAGGGGCTGTGCAAAGAGGCAGGGGGTCTCCACATGTAACCCAAGAGCTGCACGAAGAGGTACCAGGAGCTCCCAGCCGGCTCCCAGGAAAGGCCAGGGGAAGGACGAAGCCCACCCTGACCCATCACCCTCCAAAACAGTGTCTGCTTGCAGAGGAAGGACAAGGAGGAGACCAGCCCTGGAGGAGGCTGCTGTAAGGGATGGGGCAGGACACCAGATGCAGCTGCTTCCCTCATTTAGTCCTGGGACTAAGGACTAAGTGCAGCTAAGACTTGTCCTTCCTTTGGGGCAAAGGAAGCAAACCAACTTACAAGCCTGCTGCCAAAGGAGCACCTGAGAAATATCAGAGGGTAAACCCAGCCTCCTTATCTTTCTAGGAAGAGCCCCCTCAGTGACTTTAATTAAACAGACTGAAAGAAAAATACAGCCCCTGAAAAACTTGTGGGATATTTTCTAATAATTTAATTTTATCAGTTATCAGTTGAAAAATTCACTGAAATACTTTGTTGTTTTACTGCTGTATTGATTTATTTATCGCAAGTGGGCTCCTTTGTCACTCCTAGCTAATCAAATATTTTTTCTTCCTCAGTAAAATATTTAGAAATTCTGCTTAGAAATTCTCTACTGATCTCTCCCATTTTCAATAATTCACTGGGGTACAAGAAACTCTGAAGTCTGCCTGCCTCACCTATTGATCACAGACCATTTTGTATATTTTATCACTAGATAAAATTAATTAAACCCACAAAAATTAAAGCCAGTGATTCTGTTCCTCTGCACATGCTGGACAGACCAAATATCTAATAATTATCTCATTGATTTTATGCAATATCTCAAAGTGTTTAAGTTAACATCGGTGAGAAATGTCTACCTACTACATCCATGTATTTCATTATTTTCTTTCCCTCTTTCTTTCTATCTATCTATCTATCTATCTATCTATCTATCTATCTACCTACCTATCTATCTATTTATATAAGCATATATCAGTCTATGCTGCTTATTTAAGATACAAGCATAAAATGTGCATGTTATACGCAGGTAATACGACACCTTACAATACCTTACTAAAAGGCAGAAAAACAGTCCCTACAATGAGGAGAAAATTACTGGAGGAGAAAAAATGTCACTTAAGAATTAATGAATCAAGTCTGTCTTACAGGATTGATCATTTAAGATGAGGTCAATGAATTTATGATACAAATGGCTATATCACTAGAGGTAATAAAATGGAGCAATATCATTCATTTTACATCTAACTAATGACGTGCTCAGAGTAATTACAGGTTTCTTCTAAAAGCCTACACTGATTAGTTCAGATGTGATAGGTGAAACATATATATCTTTCCGTTCAATAAAATAACATTTTCTTATCCGTAAAATACACAGCCAATGTCTTATTTTAATAAGTACTTGCATTCCGTACAGAACATCATCGTTCTTCACAACCAGCTCAAAATCTCTCTGTTCATTTATTCCTTCTGCTTCCTTTTTCCTGCCTCATCCTTTCCCTTCACCACACAACCAAGAGATGAGCTAAGCTGTTGCAGAGCACTTGTTAACCCTGCGCATTGGATGTGGTAGTGCTTACGCATGGGAGCACCTCCCAGGGTTTCAGTGGGATTAGTCGCAAGAGTTAATGCTGTGGGATCACGTTTGGAGGGCCTGACCCAGCACCCGTGGAAAACAATGAAGAGATGCCTCTTTAATGCAATCAATCGGCTTTAGGTTTGACTCTTAACGTCAGCATCTGCTCACTCTGGGGTCGGCGGGAGCCTTGCCCCTGACCTCAACAGGAGCAGAGGCACAGCCGGGGACTTCCGAAGGAACTGCGGCAAAAATACATGGGAAAAAAAATAAATGCCGCGAAGCTGAGTTTCAGACATTTCCTAAGAAACATAGGTGAAGCAACCTTTTTGTACGTTTCTACCCAAAAGGAGGTGGGACCAGTAGTGGTGTGCCTGACAAGGAGCATGAACGTTTCTGAGATAAAGGGTCAGACCTTGCAAGGTGCGAACAGATCCCTTACGCACCTTCATCTCCCTTGGAAAATACTCCTTGGACTGCTCTTGGGCAAGCACACTTCACGCTGCGAATGCCAGAAGGCAAACCCTGAATGACAGAAAGATCGGTAATAAGATAACGGCCTATCTCGTTCAGCTGTAACGCAACAACCCTCAAGAAGATTAAATTTACCTAACTGGGGCATGTCCAACGCTAAACAACAGAATGAACATTTCCTTCAGTACATTTAATGTATTTATATTTTAGTGGCGGGTTGCCAGTGTGCTACTTATAAGCTCAATGACTTGATATCATTCATCCGCTCTCCTGCGAAACACGC